CAACCCCTCAATTCTGTGGCCCCTTCTCTCATTCTCCCTCATGACACGCCAGGCTTCGCGGGCAGCCTCCCGTCCAGGAGCAGACGGGCACAGTCCTGGTGAGCTTTGGCACAAGAGCCGCGTTGGGCCCCTTTGGACAATTCTGCCCGGCAACGTCCCGCCTGACCCCCCCCCCNNNNGGAGCTCCCCACCCCAAAAGTCACCTTCTGTGCTGAGACAGGCCGGTGGCGCCTCTCGCCCTGCCTGCTGTCGGTGGCAGGTCCCTTCCCAGCCTGACACGGAGATGTCTGCTCTGGGTGGGGGCTCCAGGGACAGGTCCCACAGAGGTCCATGTGCAAAGCAAGCCCTTGTCCACTTCTGGGGGAGGCTCCCTGGCCATCCCTTGCCCTTCACCATCCCCGCATATCCTGTTCTCTCTCTCTTTCTCTCTCTCTCTCTCACACACACGCACACACACACACACACACACACACAGAGCTTAGGCATTTCTGGCTCTTCTGCTGCCTGCTATCCTTCTAGTGAGACCCCCTTTGCATGCTGATGGAAGATATCCCAGGCCCTCTGCGCATGCCTCTGTAGGCGCCTCTTCTCTGCCTTCCAAACTCATGGAATCCTAGGGACCTTGGAGGTCGTCTCGTCCAGCTCCTTGGTGCCCACCAGAGAAGGACCACCTTTAAGCCTGTGGGCTGTTGCCTGGAAGGGGGGGCCCTCTCCTGGACCTCTCTCCCCTTCTCCCCGCCCTTCCCACTAGGTGACCCCTGGAGCCAGACCAGAAGAGGGTTGGGTAGTAAGTGGCTGCAGTGGGTTTTTGGGGTGTGGGAGCCTCCTCTGATGTGGGGCAAAGTTATATAAAAGAGGCCGTGAGGACGCCAGGGCTGCATTTCCATGACCCAGACCCATCAGGGGATGCCAGGGGCCCCTTGGGGCCACTTCCTACCTGTTTGAGTTCCACCCTTTTCCTTGGCTGGCAGAGTTTCGGTCCAAAGGGAGAACAGAAATCATTGGGGGGGGGGTGGCTGGTTTTCTACGATCTCAGGATGGCTGAGAGGAGGCCCTTCCCCAGAGAGGAAGAGACCAGAGGGTTGCTCAGGTTCCAAATAGCAATTTTCCCACTGGAAGAGGGCACTCCGGTGTTTCTGCCCCTAGAAGAGGCTTGCCAGGGAAACGGTGAGCCTTCTCCCCCCCCCCTCCAGGGGCATACCTTGAAGTCTGGTGCCCGTCCCCAGTTCTGGAGGCCAGTTCCCTCTCTCCCCCCTCCTCTCTCGGTTTCCCTAGAGGTTTCTGCTGAGGAGGGGAGAGGATGTTGATGGGTGTGTGCTTCTGTTCCACCACTGAGCATGCGCCTGGCGTGCGCAGCACCTGATGCATGACTAACGGCTGAGGAACAGGCAGGAGAAACTCCACAAATCATGCTGAACCTTCTGTTAGGTCTGGAAATGGCAAAAAGCTGGGGCATTTGGCTCTGTTTGCTGGGTGCAAAGACAGCGCCCTCCCCCCCGACATAGGTGTGTTTGGAGGTCTGTCTGGGTGCCGGGCCTTCGCTGCCATGACGGGAAGGCAGCCTGCACGCACTTCTCGTCCCATGCTCCCCAAGCCGAGCCATACCAGGAACAGCCTCGGCCTTTCTGCCCTTGCTTTTGGTGGATCAGAGCTTGAGCAGCCTCCCGGGAGGCGTGGGGGGAGGAGCAGAGGGGGGGGACAGGCTAAGCCGGGGCCGAGAGCAGAGGCCAGCAGGAGCCCCCGAGAGAGCTTCCGGGCAGCTGTCAGAGAGGCACCCGCTGTCAGCCGTGGCTAGTCAAGGGCAAGGGTGCATGAGGAGCACGGCGTGCTAGGAGAGGGGCAGGAGGCCTGATGGGGGAGCTGGCGTTGATGCCTTGTTGGAAGGATCCTTGGGGCCACCTCTCTCTGGATGGGGCCCCCTCAGCCCCCCAGGGGTCGCAGCCAAGGAGCAGCCTTCCCTTGGAAGAAACGCCCAGGATGCCATGTGCCCAGGGAGCGGGGTTGGGGTGTGGGCATGGTGGGAGGGGAAGCATGCCATCCTGCCATTGATGTCTTGTGCTTTGTTTCTTGATTCCAAGCCTCGATGCGGAGGAGGAAAGGGGGTGAGTGCAATCCCACCCCCTCCTGGTTTGGCCGTTCCCTCCCTCCCTCCCTCCCGCCCTCCCCAGTGGGGACGTCGGCTCCCCAGAGGCCCCAGCCGTGCCAGCTGTGCATTTCTTTTGGGGGCATGGATCGGGCAGGGGGTTGAGCCACCCGTGCAGAGATGGCCTTGGTTGAGGCAGGGGCCCTTTCTCACCTCTGGCGGACACGCCTCGGCTGAGGAAAGGAAACCTCAGAGATGTGGCCGGGAGGGGGGGGGCGGCGGCTTTGAGGCTTCTACGGTCTAGGTCTTTGACGGCTACGGTCAGTGGGGGTGATGATAGTTTGAGGGTGACCGACAAAATAGCACAAGATCCAAGCCCCGAGCAGGGCGCCTCTGCAAACTTGCAAGGGGTCCCATGGGTTAGTGACTGCAGATGCTCGGGTTGACTGTCGCCTTGAATCTCTCCCAGGATTCCTTCTGGCAGAAAGGAAAGATTTAGAAATAAAAAACAAGGGCTAAAACCAACTCCTCTTCCCTTGAAATTGGGGGGGGGGGATGGAGCCTTAGTGTTTTTGAGGATAGCAAACTGCAAAAAAACAAAAAGAGAGAGAGAGAGAGAGGCCTTAAAATAACCATGGGAGCATAAAGTGGCTGTCATAAAAGCCACGGCACGCACAAAAGCTCATGAATGCGCCCCGATGGGGTGGAAGGAGCCGTGTGTCACCTGCCAGAGAAGGTGCCAGTCTCAGCGTGGTGGCCGACAGGTAAGGTAGCGGAGCTTAAGTGGGGCAGAGCGGCCAACCTGTGGGGAGCTGGGGTGGGTTTGGAAGCCTGGCAGAGAGCAAGTGAACTTAGAGGCACTAATTTGGGCAGGAGAGACTGTTGCCGGTTCGCAGACCACCACCACCACCACCACCATCCCCCGTGCGATGAAGCCCCCAACCGAGAGAGGAGGGCGACGGCACCCGCCAGCTTGAGCCTCTCCAGCAACCCATCTGCTCCCGATGCGGGAGGCAGGAAGAGGAATCCGTCAGGTTCGGTAGCCCCAAGGAGCCTGATCTGCCTCCATCGACTTCTCTGTGCCGTTTCACAGCCCTCTCTCTGCCTCGGGGCCAATCCATCTGAGCCTCTTGGGGCAGCAAGTGCCCTCGTTTTATGCACTGTGCCAAGATGGGCGTGCTTCAGGGTGGCCTCTTTTCCCCACCATTCTGATTCTCTAAATATTTCTTCCTCCTCCTCCTCCTCTTCCACTTTCTCCAGGCTGTGCCTGGTTTCCTACACCTTGATTGCAGCCTCACTTACTTCCTCTTCTTCCTCAACTGTCCCCAAACATGCCAGATTTCCCTCTGGGAAGCAGGGGAACTTTGTGCTCTGGCCCCTTCATCCTTTGGGACGCCCTTCCCCACCCCTTTAGCAACGTCCTCTTTGAAAGCGCTTCACAGATGGGTGGCAGGCTTTGCCTTGGGCAGCACGTGGGGAGGCCTTTCGAAACTTGTGCGGGACTGAAAGGGGTCCTATTCTGTGGTTTCATAGAGAGGGGGAGCGGTGGAGCTGGAGGGGGTATCCCTCTTAGGGAGAGACACACACCCCCAGCCCTGGGAAAGGGTATGAGAGGTGAACCTTTACCTTTGGCCAAATCTTGCTCCGTCCCAGATCCGGAAAAGAATCAAGGGGGAAAGGGCTGCCTGTGATCAGAGGAGGCATGCAGGGGGCTTCCCCACCCAGAGCGCAGGCTCCAGACAAGTGGTGGGGAGGCACTTTGCACCGGCTCCCAGGAAGCGTTCAGGTTTTACGAGGTGAACCCCTTTCTATAGGGCATGGCTTGCTGCCTCTGGATATTAGGTGGATCTTTGCCTCTCTGCGCTTGCTTTGGAGAGGCCTCTGCAGAAAAAGGGACAGGCAGCCTCACGATGTGCTGCGTCCAAGCTGAGCCACCTGACATTTCAGGAAGGCACAGGAGGGCCGGTGGCACGGTCCAGGTGATCCTGAGGTCCTTGGCCAGGCTTGACCAGCTGAGCTGATTTGTTGGCACCCTGGCAAACGTCACCACCCCAAGAAAACGTTTGGGTGGTTCCCCCTGGGCAGCCATCAGCCCCCTGACTTGGCCATGTGGTGTCTGGTGATGCCCGGAGCAGGAACTGGCTGGTTTAGGAAGGCCGTGTGAGACCAGCTGGAGGGTGGAAGGCTGGCTGGCCTGCATGGATCCCCCCGGAGCAAGGACTGCGGCTCAAGCGAGCTGGACCAGTTGCAGAGCTGGCACGGAACTTCTTCTCATTCAGGTCAGAGTTGGACCAGAATATTGAGGGCACCATCTCTCTTTGGTCCAACTAGACCAGACCCATGGAAACAAATCAGACCTGTAAATTGGTGCCAGTCAGGCTCCTCTTGTTGGGCCAAAATGGAGAGAGCCTAGGGGATGGGAGACCGCGAAATTTGGAAGACCAGGAATGTTTTTTTTGTGCTTTGAGAACAGAAGCCTAGGAAAGCTTTTGTGGCCCAAGGTCACGCCGTGGTGGCCTGCCAAGCGAGGGAAAGGCGGGCAAGCTCTGCCTTTGCTTGCCAGGATGAAGGCTGTCATGTTTGGGCCTCAAGACCGAGTGCAGGCCTTTCGGATGTGGCCAGTAAGCAAGGGAGGCTGGAGATATTCACTCCTCTCTTGTGAAGGGTGCGTCCTGCGTTTCGGTGACGGCAGGTCCAGCCCTTCTCTTAGGAGCCGCAGGGGTCACCCTGTTTGCAGAAGGCGGTTCCCTCTGCAAGGTGAAGGAATCCCCATGTGCCTCCTGCCAGGGCCCGCCAGAAGGCCTTTGGCCTCCCTTGCCCAGGCCCCGACCCCTCCTGTCCCCTTGCTCCTCCTGCGCCAAGGAGTCGGCTTGAGAGTCCAGCCTCACCAACCGCCCTCCCGTGTCTGGCTTTGCAGAGAAATTGGATGAGATTTTGGCAGCCGCCGAGCCTTCGCTGAGAGCGGACATTGTAGAAGCTGATTCCAGGGCAGCCACTGTGAAGCAGCGACCGACGAGCCGGCGGATCACTCCTGCGGAGATCAGTGTGAGAGAGATGGGATGGTTTGGGGATAGGGGGTGGGTGGGGGTCGGCAGTGGGATAAAGCCTGGCAGAACCTCAAAGGTGGCAAGGCCGAGGTCTCCGTCGGTGACCAGGCACCCCTGGAGCGCATCCCCTTGCTGAAGAGTCAGCCCCTGAGGCTGCACGCATGGAAGGCGTAGCCCTTCCAAGGACACGGCAGGACACCCTCTCCACAACCCCCTTTGTGGCTGCGTTAATCATCAGGGCATGCTCTCTCTCTTTTCATGGGCCCTGGTTGAAGGGGACACAAGAATCGTTTAGGGCCTCTTCAGAGACAACTCCAGCTGACCTCGGCCTGGAAAAGAGGGATCTCTCTGTGCAGGATCTCTCGGGCCGAGGGGAGGCACCACCCAGCTGGGTTTAGATCAAGGCCAGGCCTGGCACCTACCGCCAACTCGTTGTAGGGCCCGTGCGGCTGCTAACAGGCACCTGCTAAACCGGCTAGACGAACAAGCCATGCGGAAGAAGAAGAGCTGAAGCCTTACTCTGCTTTGAAATGGCACCCCGTGTGCGCTATATTAAAACGCAGTCACATATAAATCACGCAAAGGGATGGAAGTCCCCTCTCACTGAGACCCTTGGAGACCAATGTGTGGTTCTGGCCACAGCGCACCTTTGGTTAGTTGGAGGTTTAGTGGCTGGTGCGCAGCCGCCTGGTGAGAAACCAACATGGATCTTTCTTCTGTGGTTGCCAACAGCATCCCTTCTTTATAGCTGGCTGGGCTGGAGGGCCTGGCCCGACCCCCTCCTCTCTCTTGAGAACAGGTGGAGGCCAAGTGTCCAGGAGGGCCCTGGGGGGTCTCATGCTTCCGAAGGGGTGGAAATCATTCTGGTCTCGTTCCTTCCTTCTCCTTAGTCCCTGTTTGAGCGGCAAGGGATGGCAGCGCATGGTGGAGCAGAGAAACCCCACATTTCCCTACGGAAAGGAATTCCAAGGACGAAATCTGTAGGTAAGCCTGATGTCCCTCCTTTTGTTGCCGCCGCAGCGTCCAGGGGCTCCCCCTTGTGTCCCGGCAGCACCGGTCCCACGGCTTTAATGGCAGTGGGTGTCTGCTGCCCTGTGAGAGATCCACCTCTCCAGCCTTTACCTGGGAGATTTGGGTTACGTCCCGTTGATGAGACCGCCTCCGCCTCCGGGGAGCGGCTCTCAGGACAGCCCGTCTGCCAAGACCCAGCCGTCTGGGAACAGGATCTCCCACCAGCTGGACTTGCAAACAGAGCCTCTAAAGTATCAGCACAGAACCCTGCGTGCACGGGGGGGGGGGGGGGGGAGGACTAGATCGGAGACCGCTGGGAGTCCCTTTCTTGTCTGCTCAAAGGGCAGGTTCTGGGTTTTGAATGTTAAAAAGGTGGTGGTGGCCGGGGGGGGGGGGGCTGTAGCTTGCAAGAGGCCCTGGCCTGCCTTGAGGGAGCACCTGGCCGTTCCCGCCTCCGGCCCAGGGGTTGTCACGTGCTGCTGCCCCCAGGCGGCAGCCTTTCAGAGGCACAGCCAGGCCGACAGCTGCTGCCCGGAAGAGCCTGAGACGAGAGCAGAGGAGAGAAAAGCACCTTCTCTCGCCTATGGTGTGCCTGTCGGTCCTGCCCTCTGGGCTTTCCGAGGACAGCCTTGGTGGGGAGGGCTTGTGATGCGTTGCGGAGAAGAACCTTGCCACTGCATGGATGGTCCTCAGTTCTCCTCCCTGTTCCCCTGTGGAGGAGCAAGGGGAAGGAGGCGGCTCTTAAAGACCCACCGAGAAAGTTCAGGGGTTGAGCTCTCCGTCTGCGCAGCCCAAAGAGGCTGGGAGTTCAATTCCCCTTTGGTGCCTCCTTCACGGGGGGGGGGGGGGGGGGGCAGGACTCGATGGTCCAGCTCTGCCGTTCTACCACTAGAACTGCAGTAGTAGTAGCAGTAGTAATAGTTGTAGTAGTAGTACCTGCAGGCCTTCTCGCTAAAGCATTCCTCACCCAAAGAAGATGCAGCAGGCAGATTTCCCCCGTAGGGCTTCTCGACAAGAGGTCTAGTAACACAGAACACCCTCTCCACCTCTCGAGTCTGAAGGACCCCTTTTCTCTTGTCATCAACAGACCTTGTGGATTTCTAAGAGGGAGTTCCCTTCTCCTTAATCATCATAACAGCTAAATTGCCAGTCCATCTGTACTGACCACCCTATGGGGCATCGTCTTGTTATCTGTGCAGAGAACCATGGCTTCTGATTTCACACACACACACACACACACACACACACACTTACACTTACACTTACACTTACACTTTCCTCCCCCCCCCCTCCCTGGTTGCATCTGTGCTCTGCAGAAGGGGATTTTCAGATCCAGTCCCACGTTCAGGTTTAAGACAGAGGAGGAAAGCCACAGCCTTCTGTTTACAAGACATGAGTAGGGCTGGAGTCTCCTGGAGTCAGAAGTGATCGGATAGAGAGAACCCCTTCGTGTTCCTAGTTGTGCCATGTTATCCTTAGAGCCTTGTGTTGTTGTTTTTTAATCCTCACTGCAGTGGTCTTCCCTCCAAGCCCTAGTAAATACGGCTACCGTGTTAAAACAGTGGGGTCCTCTGCAGGAGGGAGCAGGGGGGGAGTTGGGTTGCATTCAAGGCCCCTCAGTCAAGCTTCTCCGCCTGGCTCTCCTTCCTCCTCCGCGGCCTGCCCTCCTGTCCCTGTTTTCTCCGTCACCCCTTGGCGATGCGCTCCCAGTTTTGTGCACCATTGAAAGGAGGTCTGGCTGCCAGAACTGGGGTGGCGGCCCCTCTGCGAGCACCACTGGGAGGATACAAAGGATGGCCCCCAGATGAAGAGGGCCGGAGAGATGTCGGGCTGACTCCCAGTGGGGCTGGGATGCTTTTGCCCCGAAGAGAACACTCGTGGATGGCAGAAACCTTCTGGGAAGGTCCTTCCCTTGAAAAAAGAAGCATGTTGGGGGTAGATAATCCACTTTCAGCATCATACAGTGAGAGAGAGAGAGAGAGAGAGAGAGCAAAGTGGAGCAACTAGCAAGCAGGATGCCAGAGGCTTTTATTAGGATTAATTGGACAGCTTTCTCATTTTTAATTGATTGAGGCAGTGAAAGAGCTTCACAGCTCGACCTGTAGCTAGTCCATCACAACCTGGGCTGTGCGAAGCCACACCTTCATTGCCCAGCCAGACAATCACAAGCCCCCTATATTTGCTGCCTGTCGGCTAGGGCCCTCCGGCTATTCTGGCAGTAATAAAGCAACCTCTTATTCCTTCCTTGGGTTGGAGAGCGGTGGATCTATTGAAAAATGATTAGATGAGTTCTGACTCTCTTTTTGGGTGTGCCCTTGGAGGTTGATTATGCCCAACAAGGTGCCTTGCCTGCCGTTCACTGAGCTGCAGAGTCCCAGATTTCTGTGGTACAAAATAAGAGCTTGGTAGAGTAAGAAAGAGTGGATCTGTTTATAGAGTGCGGGACAGAAATGGCAACAGGATGGTTTATTTATTCGTTTGATCATTGTTTTTTCTTTGTTTTATTGTGTTGTAAAGAGTGCTTTGCAGTAATGGGGCAGTATATAGATACTCCAGCCCTGTAAATATGTATAGTGTATGTATATATATATGTATATATCCAGCAGGGAACTGCTGGATGGCTTGGTGATTTAGGTCTCTGGCAGCGAAGCCAGAGGTTTGGAGTTTGATTCTGGATTGTGCCTCCTTGAGAGGGGCTAGACTCCATGATCCATGGGGTCCCTTCCAGCTCTGCAGTACTAAGATGATGATGATTAGAAGAGTAGAATCCTTAAGGGCTTCTTCCGAACGTTTGTCACAGTAAAAGTCTCTGTTCCCCCTTCCCTCCATTTTGCAGGCTAGTTCACTGTTTTGTGAGTGGTATTCAGGACTTCACCACGGGATTCCTTTGAGTTTCGATTTGTCAAATGCAAAGACTCCCTGAATCACATCTCGCCAACACTAACGTGCTTTTGAGCACTGATGGCAGCTTATCAGTAACACCAGTTGCTGTGGGGGGGGGGCGAGAGGAGAAATGAGGCTCTCCCAGCTGTATAAAATGACAGCTGAGAATTCCAGTTGGAAGACCGTCCAGGCCCTCCTCGGAGACGAGGGGTCTCTGGCACTCAGGGCCAGTAAATGGCAGATGAAATGAATGGGGAGCCTCCCAATGGTCTCGCAGGGTGTTCTGCGCTTCCAAAGCCACGGTCAAGATGCTCTTCCCATGGAGTAAGGACAGGCGGGGCGGCCCATCTGCACGCCGTTCCTGGCTGGGTGTGGAGGCAGTCCTTCCGGAGGCAGAAAGAGAAGCCGTTGGCAAATGGCAAATGGCGGTGACTCACAGCCCAGCAGCTTTCCTCTGCGTGACGCTCAAACACGTCAGGCAGGGGAAAGCGTGCTTCGGGGAGAATGGCTCTGTGTGTGTGTGTGTGTGTGTCACGGAGCCCTTCCGGGCGGAACCAGAATTAGAGTGGTTAAAAGCAGCCGGGGCAGAGCAGAAGGCGGCAGGAGATGAGGAGGAGGAGGAGGAGGAGGGCCGAGAGGGCCAGGGAGAGAGGGCAGCCGCAGGGCTCCCTGTCCTTTTGGTACGCGGCAGCAGATTCGTAAAGAGTGCCTGGCCCGCGGTCCCCAGAAGGAGGCTCCTGCTGCTCTAGGACCTGTAGGAAGCCATGCGCTGCTGTGGTGTGGGCTTCCTCGAACTGGCTGGCGCGAGCTCTGAGCCCTCTTTGTGCTCCCGACGTCACTGGTTCGGGTTAGCATGCCAGACTGAGGAAATTCATGTACACAGAGCCTATGTAGGGATTACTTTCTGCCTTTGTTCATGGATTAGCAAAGAATTTAAGTTGCTTTTTACTCATTTGTCTGGGTGCCAAAAATGCACTACCGCCACCACAAGCCCTAGTCATGTTAGCCTATTCGCCGGCTAGCCGTGTTTTGCCCAGTTCTGGACGTCCGCTCCCTTTGGACCTGTTGCCACGTTCAGCTGGCCTGGAAGGGGCTCCAGATCCCTTCTCCTCCCACACCCGCCCCACCTGACAATGTCACCAAGCTCCCTAGGCTTTCGGCTTTGAGAGCTGCAGGGGGGGGGCGTGGAGCCGGCAAGCCTAGCAGGGCCTGGTTTTCCCTGGCGCTACTACAGTGGGTGTAGAAAAGCTTTGATAATTCCTCCTCTTCGTCCTAATTTTTAAGACACCCTTGTGACGGCTGAAATGGTGTCGCTATTGTGTGCGATGGAATTGTTTTCAGGTCATGATGACCCGATGACTTTGTGACTTCCTGTCCTCGACAGCCCTGCTCAGCTCTTGTAAACCTTTAAGGAGCCCGTCCATCTCATCTGTGGTTCTTCTCTTTCCCTGCTGCCTCCCAGCTTTCCCAGCGTTCTTGTCTTTTCCACGCTGTTCCCACGGGGGGGACAGCCACCGTTCAGTCATTTTTGTTTCTAGGGAGGGCTCCAGTTTGGCTGATGCTAGGATCCCCTTGTTCCTCTTTCTGACAGTCCATCAGATCCACAAAGCTCTCCCCCAGCGCTGCCTATTGAAGGAACTGATTCTTTAAACCTTTTTTGGCTTTCTTCACGGTCCAATTTTCATAATCACAGGTTGTCCACATGAATACTGTTGTCGTGGTTTAAAACAGTGTATTGAAATAATTAAGCCAAGGAATATGATAGTGCATTTAAAAGTGTGGCTTGAAAATAGTTTTCTATAGGCAATCAAAACTATCGGCTGCGCCTCAAACCGAGCAAGGTCATTCCCCCACAATAGTCTGATAGGTGATCATCGTTGTTGTTACAACTTAGAGTTCATTTAATTATTTAGTCAATCTTTATACCACTCACTTAGCAATTTTTTACTCTGGACAGTGTACAGAAAGTAAAGCAAAAATCAATAAAACACGTTCTAAAATACAAAGATTGGGGGGAAATCAAAAAAGGCAGGTGGCCAGAAACTGTGAGATGGCAACGAAGAATCCTTCTTCTTCCCCCACACATTCAGGCAAGGGAGGAGAACCTCCCCAGAGGCTTCCTGGAAAAACTCTGGCTTTAGTTTTCTAAAGGCATGGAGGGGATGGCGCCTGGTGTGGTTCCTATGGGCAACATGTCCCACAAGGAAGGGACCACCGCAGAGAAGGACCAGCTTCTGGTTGTTGCTTTTTGGGCCTCTTGAGGTGTTAATATTCATAGGCCATGGTCTCCGAGGACCTGGTCAGACAGCCAGTCAGATTTGGCAGAAGACGTTCAGACACGTTGTGGGGGTCCCAAACCATACAGGGCTTTGTATGTTGGAACCAACATCTTAAACCTGGCACAGGAGCGGATTGGTAACCAATGCAGGCTAGCCAGGGTCAGGGTGATATGATGATATTTCTTTACCCTGGCAATCAGTTTGGCTGCTGCAATCTGGACCTCTTGAAGCTTATGTGTCAGCCTCAAGGGAAGCCCCATGTAGAGTGCATTACAGCAATCAATTTTTGAGACTGGACTTCTAAGCTCTTAGATTTTCAAGCCTGACAGATAAGATTGTTTCAGATGATCAGTTATGTTTGTTATGTTTTAATATTCTTATATCTATAACTTTGTGTTAGTTTTTTATAGTTGGTTTTTTGAATATACAACCATATGCTCATTTATTTACTCAGATCTGCTTGCATAGACCTATTAAGTAAAAGGAAGAAAAGGAGAGGTTCTTTGGACCTTCCGTTTATCTGTCTTTCTTGGTGCAAAACTGATAAAGAAGAAGGGAGGGTTATACACGGTGTAGAACATTCCTTTGGGTCAGACTGCATTTAACCGCTTTTGGAGTCAATGTCTGCTGTGAAGGAACACAGCATCTGATCGGACTCTTAGGTATCCCTTTCAGGTGTCAAGTGATCATTTCTGACACTGTGTCCGATGGGTGAGCTTGTCCTTGGCCTCCAAGGACATCATGAAAAGCAAAAGCAACGTGTGCTGCTTATAAACTGCCCCAGAGTGCTTAAAGCAGTCTCTCGGCAGATGCAGGTGACCTCATGGCACTGAAGGAATTTCCTGAGTTCTTTCCTGGCTGCCTTTCCAAGTCTCCGTCACGTTCTGATTTCTTGGCCAGAGTCCCTGTTTCTATTGATGATTGAACCAAGTTATAGAAAATGAGAAAAGTGTCATCAGGTTGGCCGGGAGGGCCGGGAGGAAGAGCAGGGGAGCCCGTAGCCTTGTTCGTTGTGGTGGTGGTGGGGGATATTTTTGCCTTACGAACACACCACCCGCCCTGCTTTTGCTCAGCCGCTCTGATGTCTCCTGTTGTGCTGGTTTTCAGGTGAAGATGAGAAATTTGCTTCTTCCCTAATGGATGGGAAATTCCCCCGAAGTACATCAATGCAAGATACAGTCAAGGAAGGGCATGGCATCCCACCCATAAGATATGTGAACTCATTCATCTCCAGGGGGTGCTTTTATAGCTTGAAAACCCCCTCCAGGAAGAGTCTACGACACCATCCGGTCCAGTTTTAAGCCCGGCTTGGAGGCCAAGCTGCACGGGCTGCCCCAGGTGATCAGCGCGGCTGAGATGTACGACCAAGCCAGGGCCTCTGCCGTCCCGTACCCAGAGAGGCAGAAGCGGGCCCGCTCCATGATCATCCTGCAGGACTCCTCCCATGTGCCCGTGGAACCCACCGACATTCCCCGCCCGGGCCCTTCCGCCACCCCCCCGGAGAAGCTGAAGCGGAAGGGGCGCGTGGTGGACAACCCCTACGCCAACATGGGCCAGTTCAATGTCAGCGTCTTCGCCCCCACCAAGCCGCAGAGGAAGAAGAGTCCCCTGGTGAAGCAGCTGCAGGTGGAGGACGCCCAGGAGCGCGCAGCCCTCTCCATCGTGGGGGGCTTCGCACGGGAGCCCTCCCCCACCCGGCGCAGCCATCACCTGAGCGGAATGGAGTACCCAGCGCCCCCGGTGGACGCGGCCAGCCTCCCCTTCACCACTGCCATGGCTGGGGTCATGAAGGACCGAGAGCGTCGCCTCGACGAAAAGCGGAAATCCACTGTCTTCCTCTCCGTGGGGGCCATTGAAGGGGGCCCCACCACCATCGAGATGCCATCTCTGCAGCAGTCCCGCTCCATCGACGAACGGCTGCTGGGGAGCCGAGATGTGCTCCTGCCTTCGCCCGTCTCCGCTTTAAAGCCATTAATCAGCAGTTCCTCGTCAACGTTCATCCACCCCCTCACAGGGAAACCCCTGGACCCCAACTCGCCCCTGGCGCTTGCGCTGGCCGCAAGGGAGCGGGCCCTTTCCAGCCAGGGCCCCTCCAGAGGGCCCACCCCCCTCCACAGCCCAGACTCCGACCGCGCAGCCCCCCTGTTTGTGGACGTCCAAACCAAAGAACCCGAGAGGGGGGACCTGGGGGGCCTGGTCTCGCCTGCGTACTCGCCGGGGGGCAAGGCACCCACACCGGGCACTTTGACCCCGACGCAGAGCCACTGGGGGACGCCAACAACTGTGAGGAAAGCGGGCGAGGCTCGCCCCGAGACGCCCATCAAGGAGGAGAAGAAAGCAGAAGACAAGAAGTCCATGATCATCAGCATCGTGGACACGTCGCAGCAGAAGACGGCCGGCCTCGTCATGGTGCACGCGACGAGCAACAGCCAGGACCTCGGGCTGGACGTGATGGAGGAGAAGCCACCGGTCCCCGAGGCAGGCCCAGAGCCCTCGGAGCTGGCCGTGGCCGAGGCTCAGCCCAGCCCTGTGGCCAAGGCCCCCGTCAGCCCTGCCTCGGACAAGACCCTGGGGCAAGGGAGCTCGGAGGAGGAAGTGGAACCATACACCGTGACTCTGCCCCCCGCTCAGCTGTCATCGAGCGACGAGGAGACCAGGGAGGAGCTGGCTAAGATCGGCCTGGTGCCTCCCCCGGAGGAGTTTGCAAACGGGGTGCTTGTCACCACCCCAGGCACACCTATCAGCCAGCTGGCTGCCCCAGCAGTCGCCACGCCATCCATACCAGCGGCAGCAGTAGCACCTTCTACCACTGGTGGAACACCCTCAGGGAAGCCCTCGGATGCCCCCACAGCCCCGGAGTCTGCCGCAGACTCCGGAGTGGAAGAGGTGGACACCAGGAGTTCAAGCGACCATCACCTGGAGACCACAAGCACCATCTCCACCGTCTCCAGCATGTCCACGTTGTCCTCCGAGAGCGGGGAGCCCACCGACACCTACACTTCCTTTGCGGACGGACAAACTTTTATACTCGAGAAGCCGCCAGTGCCTCCAAAGCCAAAACTCAAGTCCCAGCTCAGCAAAGGGCCGGTTACTTTCAGGGACCCACTTTTGAAGCAGTCTTCGGACAGCGAGCTCATCGCCCAGCAACACGCGGCCATTCTGGCTTCCGCCAGTGTTGGCCGCCCACGCTACCTCTTTCAGCGAAGGTCCAAGCTGTGGGGGGACCCCCTGGACAGCAGGCCGGTCCACGGGGCTGAGGACGACAAACCGACTGTGATCAGCGAGCTGAGCTCCCGGCTGCAGCAGCTGAACAAGGACACCCGCTCTTTGGGGGAGGAGCCGGCTGGGGGCGCCTTAGACCCCGGGAAGAAGTCCCCAGTAGTGGCAGCACGGTAAGACCCAGCGGGGTTGGGGGGCGGGGGCGGGGAAGGCGTGGCTAACCATGCAGGACGGCCAGCCCCTCCGGAGGGGGGAGGGATCCCTTGGACCATTTGGGTGTGAGGTCTGAAAATATTGCTGGTGAGCCCCTCTCCTCTCCTCCCCCTGCCCCGTTCCCTTCCCCCTCTTGGCCCTCTGTCCCATTCCTTCAAGGTGTGTCCAGACCAGCACTCCCCTTTCTGCGATTTTCTCTGGGCCTCTGGGATCCCAGGGGCTTGTGCTCCTCTCCCTCCCTGGAGAGAAACTGGCCATTTGCACAGCGGCCCCCCAGGCAAGAAACCAGGGAGGGGAAATCCAAGCCTAGGCTGCAAAGCAGCCATGTTTAGCTTCCCGTGGTGCCAAGGGCGGAAGCAGGAGTGCATTTCCCAGGAATCCCCCATGCCCTCCACAACAGGGCCGGGTGGTTGCTCTCCTGAATCTGCTTCAGGGATGGAGCGTGAATTTAAGGAGCTGTTCGGGACACGCCCAGCGCTTGGTGTTGGAATGGCGACTTTCCCATTAAATGGGACAAGAAGCCAAAGGATAAGATTTTAAAAGCAACCTTTTTAATGTTTAGATGGCACTTTAAAACCTTATAGTTAAGCCTAAGTACATTTTTCTCATGTCATGATTCAGTTAAATTAATGTGGTGTTTCGAAGCCCGGAGACAGGCTAGGTCGAGTGGCCGGGGGGGTCGAGGTTGGGGGGGGAGAGAGAGCAGGAAAGGGCTCTGTGCTTCCTGCAAGCCTCTTTCGCTGGGAGGGAGACAGAAATGAGGGCTGGACTGTTGCCACATGATGGCCTGTGTGCCAAAATTGCGGGTCTGAACAAATTCATTTCTCCCTTAAATGAATCTTCTCTTTGCAATCTCCTACTGCCTGTCTCCCTGTCCTAAATCTCTGGTCCTGCACAATCTCCGGTTGGGATGCAATTATTATTATTATTACTATTATTATTATTATTATTATTATTATTATTATTTGGTTTTCAAAGACCAGGGTCTAGGACAGAGTTTCCTGGACCTTTCAAAGCCCATACCCCTTTTGACAAACTTCAAAATCTCACATATAGTAACAACCTCAGACCGGCTTCCCCAAGAGTTTTTATTTGAAATCGGAATACCTGGACTGGGACTGGGACAGGCAGAGGTTGTTCTCTTTGCACTGAGCCGAGCACTACCAGTTCTTGAAAAGGTTAGCTTTTAGTCTTGGGAAGAATGGCGGCTTGGTGCGTGGGAAGCAGGATGGGGGACTGGATGCACCATCTGGACTCTGCAGTACGCGCTGCATCTGAACTCCGAGATCCAGGAAGGCAATGCAAATGTCACAGGGCCAGCGGTGTGTGGGGCAATTCAAGCACCTGCACACTGAGAATACATCACAATCATTCGTTTGCCCCATTTTCCAAATAAAAATGGTATCCCCTCCTCCAGATTATACAGGCCTCACTGGAAATCTTGATTTAACCCCCCCCCCAGAGGGCACCCTGCCCCTCTGCTAGAAGGCTGTTGAGGGGTGGGGGTCAGGTCTCCTGTCTCTTTGGGATGTTGGTCGTGTTCCTCTCGCCCAGCCCATCAATGGACTGCCTGATCCTGAGGCCCTGCAGAGCTTGTGGCAGATTGCCCAGGCATGAGCCTCATCGGTCTCTGCTTCCAGAACCAGGACTGTGGGTCTTCCACCTCTGAGGACGCAGAAGCACCCCTTTGTGCGCCAAATGTCACAGCTCTTGCATGGGAAAGGTCCCACTGTCTTTTCTGCCCAGATCAGGTCTCCCACATAAGAGGAGCTCTAATTAATGTGAGCCTTTGAAGGTCAGAGCAGGCATGACTGCTGAGCTTCCCTCCCCAAGAGCAGGTGGAGTCCTCTACTTGCATTGCTAATTCCGTTGCAGAGTGTCCATGTTATCCTGGGCATTTCGTATACATATGCATTTCCCCCTCTTAAGGTAGTAGCCCTGATTTTTAAAACAAATTAAGGAAGGAATACAGGGTTTGTACCATAGCCTCTGCACTGATATGCATCAGAACTGGTTTGCCAGGAAAAGGAGTTGAAGGTAGGGGAGCGGAGGAGAAGGGATGGAATTGCAAAGTATGTGGGGGTTGATCCAGGGCCTAAACAGCTCCTTCCCACACATCTCATGAAAATGAAAGGGAAAAAAAGTCTGAAGAGTTATGCTAATTCAGCATAAACCCACATAAAAGCAAAGGAGAGAGAAAAGCAGCCCTCGGTGCAGAAAAAAGGGGGAATGCAAGGTGGGGATGGGGGATTGAAGAGAGGGTCAGTTATGGGCAGCTGAATATCTCTTTCATAGGGAGCAAGAACTCTTGGAGAAAGACAGGCGAGTGTGGCGGAGATTTCCTGACACAGATGGTGCCGCTCTCTGTCGTGGAGCTGGTGCGGTTTCTCCTTCTGTGCCTTCCGTTTGCTTCTTTCCTGTCCATGTGACGGGACTCTTGGTCAGAATCCCACATGACTAAGAGGTGAGGCTAAGCTAGGCTTTGCAAGTAAAGAACAGCCGGGCATTGGGCTAGGCTCACCATGGGGTTTGCTCACTTCTAGGATCTAGGCTGATCCCCAGTGAATAGCTTTTTCCTCTATTCCAGAGCACCACAGCTGCCAGAGTGGTGGGCCAGGAAATGCTAAAGGCACAACTACAAACAATTCCCAGCAGGGGGAAAAAAGGTGGAAGAAAGCACAAAAGATCGATGTGGTTTCATCAGAAGCCCAGAGAGGCCTTCAGCGTTTTGTTTTGTTTTTTTAAAGACATGTAGGAAGGAAGGAAGGCCAGGCCACAAAGGAAGAGGACAGACAAGTACCAAAGAATTGCATAGATGGCATTAGGAAGCCAAAAGCTGAGAATGAGCTGAGGTTAGCCAGAGATGCTAAAAGCAACAACAACAAAAAAGGGCATTCTTTGGGTATATATGCCCAGCAAAAGCCAGAGAAAAGAAACAGTGGCTCAGCTACTCAGTGGGGATGGTGAAACAGATGACAAAGAAAAGGCAGATGTGCTCAATTCCTACTTCAGCTCCGTCTTCTCCCAAAAGACAGCCTATAACCCTCGAGGCAAATGTGAAGTACAACAGGAGGGGGCAGGACTGCAGCTTGAGGATGATAAAACAGTCAAACAATGCCTTATTACATTCTGATTAGCAAGCTAACTATCTGTGAGCTGAATAGAACAATTATCAGGTGGCTACACAGTTGGTTACAGTATCTTACTCTGAGAGTGCTTCTCAATGGCTCCTTCCCAAACTGGCTGCAGTAACAGAAATACAGTCTCCAAATCCCGCAAGGTGCTAGTCCCCCTCTATTCAACACTGGTTAGGCCTTACCTTGAGTCTTGTGTCCAGTTCTGGACACGGCACTTCAAAAAGGATGCTGACCAATTGGAACATGTTCAGCAGAGGAGGGCGACAAGGAGGATGATCAGGGGGCTGGAAACCAAGACCTCGGAAGAAAGGCTGAAAGCACTGGGCCTGTTTAGCCTTGAGAAAAGAAGAGTGAGGGGAGATCCAGTGTGAATGGCACTTTTCAAATATTTGAAAGGCTGTCCTACAGAGGAGGGGCAAGATCTGTTCTCGGTCATCTTGGAGTGCAAGACACATCATAATGGGCTCACATTGCAGGAAGGCATTGATAAAATAATATTTTACACTGCCATGGCAAGTTTTGATGTGGAAATAACTTTCAGAAGAGGTCAACTTTCTGTCCTTTCTGACTTGAGCTGTCCTTCAGTCCCTGGAGCGCAGAAATGTCAAGCACCCATTTCTCTGTAGGCCACCCGTTCCCTAGGATTGTGACATTCCAGGGAATCTTGTGCTGAGAGGGAGGTGAGCTCGGAAGGCTGGGTGGCCTCCTGCCCCCCCCCCCCCGGAAAGGCAGAAAGAATAGGAACTGCCTGAATAGGGAGTCTGAACCAGCCCCAGGTTGCCATCCAGTTGACCTGGTTGTTCTCTCTCTCTCTCTCTCTCTCTTTCTCTTTCTCTTTCTTTAAGCAACAGTAAAGATCTCTAGAGGTATAATTTGAGTTGATTTCTAGGTGCAAAAGATGTGGAAAGGAGAAAAGAGAGGGCTAGAAAAGTAATATATATGTGTATTTAGCATGCTCTTTTAAAACAAACAAACAATTGCTTTGTATTCTTACAGATCTGAAAAAGAGATTGAAGAGAAATAAGACTTTTAAGCATTTGTAGCTCGTAGGGTAAACCTTTCTTTTTTTCTATATAAACTCATCAACTAATTTTGTTTCCATCTTGAGAGGTGTCCTGTTCTGCTGGAAGCTTCCCCCTCTTTCAGTTCACCCCCTCCCCACCCACCTCCTTGTAGGCTTTGTCGCTGCCCTCTACTCCTGCTGTGGGCCAGAACTGTGCCTCCCAGGTCTGAAGGGTGGCTCCTTTCTGAAATCTCGGCCCGTGGCAGGAGAACAGCTGGGCCGTCAGAAGCAGGAGGGGCCCAGGCTAGGGATCAGGGCCCTCCTTCCGTGGGCACGGGAGGCACACCGGGGAGCAGCAGGGCCGGCTTCCTGTGCAGGGCAACATGGCAATCAGTTACTTCTGGAAGTTACTTCTCTGGATGCCAAGTCCCAGAATCTCCCACCCCTTTGGCTGCGAGAGGATTCTGGGAGTTGTGGTCCATGAAGGGGACCTGACCTTACGAGGTCCCTCGATGTCTCCTCCGTTGTGTCCACCAGCTGGACTTCCATTCAGGTGGTTGAGACCCACCTTGCAAGCCTCTCGGTAGTTCTCTGCTCCGGAGACCAAGGTTAAAAGGAGGGGGGCAGGTGGGGCGCTTGACTGTGGGAGTAGAAGACCCTCTGCCTGTGGGTGCTGAAGGCACAGACGCCCTTCCCCAGTTCAGCCTCTGGCATCTTCAGGGAGAACCCAGGAGAGCGGCCGCCGGTCAGCATGGAGACGCTATGGAGCGGGACAGCACCCGGGGCTGGCCCCGGAGGAAATGGCGCCCTGCCGCCCATC